GAGAAACCCTATGAATGTAATCAGTGTGGTAAGGCCTTTGTATGTCAAAGTCATCTCCAAATACATAAAAGAATACATACTGGAGAGAAGCCCTATGAATGTACTCAATGTGGAAAAAACTTTGCATATCAAAGTCATCTTCAAAGGCATACAAGAACACATACTGGAGAGAAACCCTATGCATGTAATCAGTGTGGTAAAGCCTTTGCCTGTTACAGTGGTCTTCAAATGCACAAAATAATACATACTGGAAAGAAACCCTATGAATGTAATCAGTGCAGTAAAGTCTTTGTTCATTACTCTTCTCTTCAAAGGCATAAAATAATACATACTTAAGAGAAACGCTGTGAATGTACTCAGTATAGGCTTTGCATATTATAATAATCTCTGAGTACATAAAAGAACATACACTTGAGCAAAACTCTATGAAGGTAATAAGTGTGGTAATGGTATGTTTCAATAGTATACAAAATCATGAATAAAAATCATACTGTAGAGAAAGCCTATAAATGTAGTCTGTGTGGTAAAATTTTACACTTTCTACAAGAATAAAAACTTTGTGTGCAATCAATGTGTTAAAGCTTTTGTATATTACAATAGTCTTTGAATTCCTAAAAAAATATTGAGGGCTTCTTATTATAAAGTATTTGTTAAGATCTTTAGCTAACATTCTTACATTCAGTTTCACAAAAATATTTATTCTGTAAAAAATTTTGAAAGTGTCATCAGTCTGGTCAAACATTAGGATGTACAACTTTATATTGTTGTAACTTTAAATTCATGGAGAAAATGAATTTATGAATCCCTATGAATTTCAATGATAAATTTATTCCTTTTAAATTTTATACTTCTCTTCAATTACATGAAATAACTAATTTGGGTGTAAAACTTTATGGATTTGTATTAGTGCCTTTTCTGTTTTTGTGATATATTGCCTATGTCAACTTATAAAAAGAGTTTAATTTGGCCCTTGGTTCCAGAGGGATAAAAGATCACCATGAAAGTTCCATGGCAACAGGTGTCAGACATGGCAGCCTAAGCGGAAGCTAAGAACTCATATCCTCCATCTGCAAGATGAAGTAGAGAGTGAGAACTGGAAACAGGGTGCAGATGTAAATTCTCAAAGCCTACCCCCAGTGATATATTTCTTCCAGCAGGGCAGCATTTCATAAATCTTCCCAAATAATAATAGCAGCTTAAAATGATTGGTATTTCTGACTTTAATCCTACATTCTTTCTGTCACATGAGCTACTTATATAGAAGAAAAGCTCTGTAAATAACCCTGTAGATGTTTCAACAAATGAGTTATAGAAATGAATGCTTAAAAGAGGAAAACTTTCATTTGTTAAAAACTGCTTAAATTTTAATTATGATTTCAGTGTGTGCTTGTGTATGTATGTGCATGCTGGTGCCCAAGAAGGTTAGACCTTTGGATTTTCTCATAGCAGGAGTTATGGAAAGTTGTCCAAAATTGGATCCTGGTACTGGAAAAGACCTTTTCTTAACTGTGCAGCCATGTCTTTAGCTTGATAATGTTTTTTTTTTAATTATTAAGAATTTTTTGTTCATTTTACATGCCAATCACAAGTGCCCCTCTCCTCCCTCCTTCTGTCCCCCAGGCTTATCTATCAGCCCATCCTCCATTCCCAATCCTCTAAGGCAAGGACTCCTGTGGAGAATCAGCAGAGCCTGGTACATTCACTTGAGGCAGGTCTAAGCATCTCTCCCTGAACCAAGGCAGTGTATAGTGTTCCACCATAGGCACTGGGCTCCAAAAAGCCTGCCCATGCACCAGGGATGAATCCAGACCCACTGACAGGGGCCTTTCAAGGTAAACAACAGTCTCAGCTATGCAGATGGTTTAGTCCGGTCAAGTGGAGGCTCCAAAACTCTTGGTCCACTAGTTCCCATTGGGTCATGAGTTCCCACTAGATTGTTTTAGTTGTCTCTGTATTTTTTCCCATCATGATTTTGATTTCCTTTGGTCATAGAATCCCTCTTCTCTCTCTTCAGCTGGACTCCTTTCTTTGGACTGGTGCTTGGCTGTGGATCTCTGCATCTGCTTCCATCATTTACTGGATGGAGGCTCTATGATAATAGTTAGGGTATTCACCAATCTGATTACTGGAATAGGCCAGTTTAGGCACCTTCTCCAATAATGCTAGTAGACTAAACTGGGGTAATCCTTGTGTGTTCCTGGGGCACTATGTTTCTCCCTGTTCCCTTGATGTCTCCCTCTATCATGGTATCTCTTGTTCTTCCACACTGTCCCTGTTCTAGTTCGACCATCCCATTCCCTTATGTTCTCACCCCCCATCCCCTACCCTCCGTTGCCCCCCACTCCTTGCTCCCAGTTTGTTCATGGAGATCTCACCTAGTTTCTTGAGTTCTTTACATATTTTGAAGATCAGCCCTCTGTCAGATGTGGGGTTGGTGAATATCTTTTCCCATTTTGTAGGCTGTCATTTTATCTTCTTGACCATATCTTTTGCCCTACAAAAGCTTCTCATTTTCAGGACATCCCATTTATTTATTGTTGCTCCCAGTGTCTGTGCTACTGACGTTATACTTAGGAAGTGGTTTCCTGTGCCAATATATTCAAGACTACCTACTTTCTCTTCTATCAAGTTCAGTGTAGCTGGATTTATGTTGAGGTCTTTGATCCACTTGGACTTGAGTTTTGTGCATGGAGATAGATATGGATGCATTTGCAATCTTCTACATGTTGACATCCAGTTATGCCAGGACCATTTGTTGAAAATGCTTTACTTTTTCCATTGCACAAGTTTGGCTTCTTTGTCAAAAATTGGGTGTTCACAAGTGTGTGGTCTTCAACTCAATTCCACTGATCTACATGTTAGTTTTTATGCCAATACCAAGTTGTTTTTATAAGTATAGCTGTATCATCGAGCTTGAAGTCTGGGATGGTAATGTCTCCAGATGTGGCTTTATTGTGCAGGATTGTTTTTAGCTATCTTACATTTTTTGTTTTTATCCATATGAAGATGAGTGTTGTTCTTCCCAGGTCTATGAAGAATTTTGTTGGGATTTTGATGGAGATTGCATTGAATCTGTAGGTTGCTTTTGGTAAGATTGTTGTTTTTTACTATGTTAATCTTACCTATCCATGAACATGAGAGATCATTCCATTTTCAATTTTTTTTCAGAGATTTAAAGTTCTTGTCATACAGGTTTTGACCTGCTTAGTCAGAGACTTAAAGTTCTTGTCATACAGGTTTTGACCTGCTTAGTTAGAGTTGCTCCAAGGTATTTTATATTATTTGTTGCTTTTGTAAAGGGTGATGTTTCTCTGATTTCTTTCTTAGCTCATTTATCATTTGTATATAGGAGGGCTACTGATCTAATTTTTTTTTAAAGATAATTTATCCTGCCACATTACTGAAGGTGATTGCCCGGTGTAGGCGTACCCTAATAGAATTTTTGGGGCCACTTATATATACTATCATATCATCTGTAAATAATGAAAGTTTGTCTTCTTCCTTTCCAATTTTTATCACCTAGATGCCCTTTTGTTGTCTTATTGCTGTAACTAGAACTTCACATATTATATTAAGTAAATGTGGGGAGAGTGTACAGCCTTATCTCATTCTTATTTTACTGGAATCACTCTGTGTTTCGCTCCATTTAATTTGATGTTGGCTGTCGGCTTGTTATAAATTGTCTTTATTATGTTTAGTTATGTTCCTTATATTCGTGATCTCTCTGGGACCTTAATTATGAAGGGCTGTTGGATTTTGTCAAAGGCATTTTTAGCATCTAATGAGATGATCATGTGGTTTTCTTCTCTCAGTTTGTTTATATGGTATATTACATTGACAGATTTTCATATATTGAACCATCCTTGCTCCCTGGGATGAAGCCTACTTGTTCATGGTGGATAATTTTTTTGATGTGTTCTTGGACTCAGTTTGCCAATATTTATGGAGTATTTTTTTTGCATCAATGTTTATGATAGAGACTGGTCTGTAATTCTCTTTCTTTGTTGCATCTTTGTGTGGTTTGGGTATCAGGGTAACTGTAGCCTCATAAAAGGAGTTCTGTTTATATTGTGTAGAACAATTTGAAGAGTATTGGTATTAGTTCTTCTTTGAAATTCTCATAGAATTCTGCACTGAAACCATCTTGTCCTAGGCTTTTTTTTTTTTTTTTTTTGGTTGGGAGACTTTTAATGACTATTTCTATTTCCTTAGGGGTTACTGTTATATTTAAATAGTTTATCTGGTCTTGATTTAACTTAGATATATGGTACCTATCCAGAAAATTGTCCATTTCTTTCAGATTTTCCAATTTTGTGGAGTACGGGTTTTTGAAGTATGACCTGATGATTCTCTGGATTTCCTCATTGTCTGTTGTTATGTCTCTTTTTTTCATTTCTGATTTTGTTAATTTGGATGTTCTCTCTGCCTTTTGGTTAATTTGGATAAGGGCTTGTCTATCTTGTTGATTTTCTCAAAGAACCGACCCTTTGGTTTCATAAATTCTTTGAATTGTTCTCTTTGTTTCAATTTCATTGATTTCAGCCCTCAATTTGATTATTTCCTGCCATCTATTGCTCGTGGGTGAGTTTTTCTTCTTTTTGTTCTAGAGTTTTCAGGTTTGCTGTTAATTCACTAGTGTGTGATTTCTCTAACTTCTTTTTGTGGGCATTTAGCACTGTGAATTTTTCTCTTAACACTGCTTTCATAGTGTCCCATAAGTTTTGGTATGTTGTACATTCATTTTTATTGAATTCTAGAAAATCTTTAATTTTTTTATTTCTTCCTTGACCCATTGGTAATTCAGTTGAACATTACTCCTTTTCGTTTCCATGAGATTTCCATGAGGCTTTTTATAAATTTTGTTGTTTGAAATCTAGCTTTAAGCTATGGTTTTCTGATATAATACAGCAGGAGGTGTTTCCAATTTTTTTTATATCTGTTGAGATTTGCTTTGTGACCAAGCATGTGGTTAATTTTAGAGAAGGTTCTAAGGTATATTCTTTTTTGTTAGGGTGGAATGTTCTGTAGGTATCTATTAAGTTCATTTGAGTCATGATGTCTGTTAGATCTTTTATTTCTCTGTTAAGTTTCTGTCTTGCAGACCTGTCCATTGTTGAGAGTGGGGTGTTGAAGTCTCCCATTACTATTATGTGGGATTTGGTGTGCTATTTAAGCTTTAGTAATGTTTCTTTTGGATGCCCTGGTATTTGGGGCATACATGTTTAGAACTGAGACTTCATCTTGGTGTATTTTCCTTGTGATAAATATGTAATGTCTTTCCCAATCCTTTCCAATGGTGCAGGGTGGCCTTATGACCCCAATGGTCACTGGTGTTGCTGGTGATCTAGCCTGTGTCTTTTTATTGGAAAATGGATTCCGTTGATATTAAGGGATATTAATGAACAGTGATAGTTAATTCTTGTTATGATTTGATGGTAGTGTTGTATGTTTGTTGGTGTGGGATTGTCTGTTGCCTATGTTTTCATGTGTGTATCTGACATCCTTAGGTAGGATTTTCTCATATAATGCTTTCTGTAAGGCTGGATTTGCTCATA